TCTTTGACGGCGCGCGATTGCTCCGTGTCGCTCGTGGACGAAAAAAGTATCCTCACCGACCAATCCAGAACAATCCCCAGGCGATTTGCCTTGGCCAGGGAAGTGTAGCAGCATGGGCCTGGAGCCTCTTTGAGGCTTATTAGGGGTCATTTTGGGACGGTCTTGGAACCATGCTGGAGGACGTGTATCAAAAAAGGGGGCGACCTGGATTAGCATTACCCCTTTAGAGGTCGAGCAACAGTCTTTTGATGCTCTCTGGGACGCTCTTGGAGCGATCCCGAGGGTCTCTGGGACCAGCTTGGGGTATTCTACGGACCCCTCTTGAGACTCTCTGGGGAGATCTTGGAACCGCCTTCGTGCCGCAGGAGCCCATTTCTGGTACAAAGCAATGAATGATTCACGTCAGGTGTTTGAGCTATTTTGATATTTTTCTGGGGGGGGCATTTGGAGGCGCCCAGGGCACTTGGATCCGTCTCGGGGCCGCCTTGGGAACTCTCGGAGGCATACTGGAGGCCGTCTGGAACTAGCTTGGACCATACCGCGCTTTCTCGGGTGCCATCTGCAGATACCTGAGACCATCCTGGAGCAAACTTGACGCGAAAGCCTGTCAAGGATGCTCCAGAAAGTATAACAACAGGACTCTTCCGTTTTTTTTTTTTTTTTTTTTTTTTTTTTTTTTTTTTTTTTTTTTTTTTTTTTTTTTTTTTTTTTTTTTTTTTTTTTTTTTTTTTTTTTTTTCAGGATTCTGCGACTGAAGGAATCAGTGGTTTTCCCTTGTTAGCGTCACCCTCGGGAGCTCGAACAACACGTCGCTTGGGAATCCATCGGAGCGCTGTTGGGCACTCTGGGCGCTCCTGGGGCTGTCTTGGCGCCCATCTGGGCCCCGCTTGAGCAATCGTGAATGTTCCCGCGCCCATTGGAAGCGAAAAGGCGATCAAGCAAAATGCATGCAACAGCTTGAGGTTTGAAGCATTTTGGCGTCTTGAGGGCCTTTGACCCTCGGGAGCTCGAACAACACGTCGCTTGGGAATCCATCGGAGCGCTGTTGGGCACTCTGGGCGCTCCTGGGGCTGTCTTGGCGCCCATCTGGGCCCCGCTTGAGCAATCGTGAATGTTCCCGCGCCCATTGGAAGCGAAAAGGCGATCAAGCAAAATGCATGCAACAGCTTGAGGTTTGAAGCATTTTGGCGTCTTGAGGGCCTTTGAGGTGCATGCTGGAAGCCATCTGGAGTCATCTTGGGATACATTGTTCCATCTCAGAGGTCATCTTGGACTATATGATATGATTTGGGAGTCATCTTAAGCAATGGATCATCCAACTGGTAGCCCCCCCGTCCAGATCCAGGAGAGTTATTTCCCCCAGTAGAACGGGTCAACACCACCAATCGTCCCTCGGCCACAGCACTGGCGTGTCACGCCCCCCCATCTTGCCTTCGACAAGGTAAGACAAGGCAAGGCAGTCTCCAAGACAGCCACCAAGATGGCACGCGATGGTCCAAGACGGCTTCAAGCAGGCCTCCAAGAGGCCTCCAGACCGCCACAAGACAGCCTAAGGTGGCCAAGGCAGCCTTGCTCGAATGGCCCCGATATGTCAAACATATTTGAAAAAAAGCCATGGTTCGTTCATTGGGTGCGGTCTTATCGCTTTTCAGCTTCCGAACGTTTGCTTCAGGATCGCTCGAGAGAGGCCCCAGGAGAGCCCAGGACGGGCTCAAGACGGGCCTGTGTGCCCCCTTGCGGACTCCCGAAGTGCCCCAAGAGGGCTTCAAGAGGGTAGCAGGAGGGCGCTATTCGCGAAAAGGCTAACATGACTACCCGTACTTGACTCCGCGCTGGTCGCAGCGTGGCTCGGGAGGGCTCCGCACGCTCCCGGAAGCCACAACGGGGCCCTCGCCGAGAGCCACAAGAAGGGTCCAAACGGAACCCAGACAGGGCCTCAAGAGTGCCCCCAAAGAGCTTCAGAAGAGCCCCCGAGGTCCCCCCTTCGCCGAATCCCAGGATTTTCGTCTGAGCATCGTCGGCCAGGGGCGGCCACCGTGCCAGGTTGTAAGCAGCCCCGAAGGGGAAGAAGCGGGTCAGAAGAGAGGACTCGCCAGACAACCGACGCCCCGAGGGCTGGTGGGATTCGCTTCCCGGCATGGCGATGATTTGGCTCTGCAAGGCAAACCTCCTGCCAAGGGACTGGGTCGCGCAAGCGCATTGCACAGGAATGCGTCGTGCCCTGGACGCTGACAGGGCTCGGCGTCTCGCCGACCGTTCTGCACGCCCAGTGTGTGCGCAGGTGTCTCCGCTCTCAGCTGCTTGGCGGCTGCTGCACACGTCGCGTGGTTACCCTTTTCTTCGTCGGAGGAGGAGCTCGAGGGGAGGCTCGTCGTGTACACCCCTGCCTCCTCCTCCTCCTCCTCCTCCTGCGTACGAAGCATGCGCGACCCTCGTCGGTCTCAGGTACAAGACGGAGAAGACCCTCTTCGACAGTGGCCTGGAGATCCCGGTGACGAGGAGGTGGCAGCTCACGAACCGCTACCGGGGGCTCCAGTGCGACGGCATGCACACGGACATGCGCGGAAGGGACCCGCTCTTCTATCCAGCGCCTGGCGGCATTCCTGCACTTCCTTTCTGGCACTTCGAACGGGAGGTGGCGTTTTGTCTGGTTTTCCTGACTTTTCTCTGTTGGGTGATCCAGGTGTGCTCCCGGTGTTGCCAAACCAACCTCTGTGGTGCAGTGTCCACGGCAGCTCGCCGTACCGCCCAGACGCCCGCGTCCAGGCCCCTGCCATAACTTTGCCGCGCCGCTGCTGCGAAGAGACTCCCTCTGAGACCATGCCCACTGCCTCGTCGCTACTGCCACGCAGATGTTCACTGCTCACTGCTCAGTGCGGAGGTCGACGCAGCATCTGCAGCACATAGCAGTCCACCTCGCGCTCTCGGCGAACGCCGACTCGATGCCCTCTTGCGCTATCCTAGCTCTCCCCCCATCTTCCATCCCCCCTCCGGCACCCTCTCTCCCCTGCCGCTCCTCCCTCCTCCTCCCTCACCCCCTCTGCCCTTCCCCTCCTCCCTCCCGCTCCCGTCCCAGGCCCCCCTGGCTCCCGCTCCCGGGCCCCAAACCCCCCGCCGGCCGCGTGCTCGTGCACGGCACGGCGGCCCCGCCGCTTCGCCGCCCGCGCCTCCTCCCGCGGCACGGCCTCCTGCCGAGGCCCCGGCCAGGGCCTCGGGCCCCGGCTGGAGGCCCGAGGCCGACGGGGAGGCCTCCCCTTGGCGGGGGTCGGCGGACGACGAGCCCTGCCCGCAGGCGAGCGGGGCCTCCGCGCGGGGGCGTCTCCTCGACGGCCCGTGGCGCTCCGGGTGCGCGGCGTCCTCGGGTGTGGTTCCGTCTGCTGCCACTGGGCGGGGACGCGGGAGGGGGGGGGGGCGGGGGGAGGGGGAGGGTAGGGAGAGGAGAAGAAGGAGGAAGGCGAGGGGGGGGGAGGGCAGCAGCAGGTGGATGAGGACGAGCAGGATAGGGGAGCCGCAGTGGCGGGAGGAGCAGGGGTAAGCAGGACGAGCAGGAATGGCCCCGGGCGTTGATGTGTGCTCTGGAGAGGGAGTGTGCGTGGGATCAAGAGCCAAGCTGGCCAGTTCGAGCGAGTCAGGAGGCTCGCTCACTCCCAACCCTCCCTCTCATGTACGGTAGGCTCGTGTCGTGTCGACCGGCGGCGACCCCGCCAGCGGCGCTCAATTTTGAACGCCGCGGGCGACCCAGAATCGTTCGTTGTGGAACGATTTGGACGTTTCGGAAGCGGCCGATCGTTCAAGGTTGAACGATCCCCGTGGTGTCAGAAACCAACGCCGAAGTCGGCACGACACAAACCTGACGTAATCAATGCAATGCTGACGCAGCCAGATGCCGGAACGCGCTCCCACCTGGCGAGCGGAAGGCGCCCGCTTGTGGCCCCGCTTCCGACGACCTGGCGCTGAAGAGAGCATGCAGGCTGCGCGCAGGCTGGACCGAACCTTGCAGACGGTCCTTGTGCAGCTCTTCTCGGTATCGTTTAACCGATCCCCATCCCCATCCCCTAGACCCCCACCAAATCACCACCCCAGTTGGGGATACACCCCTCGAAGCCCGAAGGGAACGGCCTGTATCCCCATCTAGGGGGGTAAATCGGCCAGTGGGGCCCAGGCCACGCCGCTGGGGATGGGGATCGGTGAAACGATGCTCATCTTCGGCGGGAACGCGATTCGGCCCTCGGGCGCGCTTCCATCGAGAAGTGAAGGCCTTAAAGCTGTTGCCGCCGCCCCCGAACGATCACGCCCACGACGAACCATGATACAGTGCCGTTTTTAAGACATGCTCCGCGTGCGGATCATGTAGTACAAATGCAGGGACTGAGTTCATGCATAAATGTACTCATGCATTAGTCATGCATTAAAAATCCTATACTTTTAACATCCTATGTATTACAAACTGCCCTGTATGTAACATCTGATGCACTTCCATATTTCCGATGACAGTGGCGGAGACAAAGCACGTGCCGCGCAGAGGCGGGGCCGACACCTCTGGGCGAACTCCTCGCGGTGTCTGGGCGTGAGCGACGTTTGTCCCGCCTGCGGGCGGCGGCACCGCTTCCGCTTCTGACGATTGCGCGCGGGCCCAAAGTGTGCGCCGTGCCCAGAACCGCGTATGCCACTTTCGTGCGAAATCGGTTAAGGCGGGCATGTCCCTCTACAGGTTGAGATTTTTCGACTGTTTTTGATCATGTGTGGTGATTATTTTTGGATCATTTTTAGTTTTCGACCCAAATCCGCCTGTAGGAGGACATGCCCGACCTAACGTTAGGGTGAGAACGACATCTCGTCCTGTCAACGCATGGGCGAGCGAACCATGTATACCACGGGAGGGCTTTAGACGGGCCAGCCGTCGGCCCGCTAGGTGACGTACGCTGTGTGAGTATGTACTGAGGAGGACGAAAGTCGACTACACGTAAGAGTGACCTTTCGCTGGAGCGACCTTTGGTGCGGGCCCATTGGGGCCCACCGATCGCCGAACGAGATGCGATCGCAACGTCTTGCGCGCTTCTGTTTCGCACCCTCGCGGCCCCCCAAAGCGCACCAAAGGTCACTCTTAACCAGGATCACTCTTGCGTGTAGTCAGGGGAGAGTGCCCTCTGTGACGGCTTCCAGCGATTGTGGTTCCACTTCCAGTTAAACAGGTGCCAATTTCAACTGCCTTGGAAGCTCCTCAGAGATTCCTTAGAGATTCCTCTCGCTTTACGGGGTGCACGTCTGGAGCACGTTAAGGCAGGGCGTTGGGTGGTTAGCCCTGCTCGTCTACTGAGAAGTTCTGCCGTGTCGTTCTGCCCGCCCCAGGGCGCTGCCAGCGCCACGGGGGGCGGATGCCCCTCCCCCCGTTTCAGCGCCTGGCCTAGCCTGCGAACGTCCACGAGGGCAAGGAGCATTCACCGAGTGTCAGCACAAGGCAACGCCAAGTCACAAGGCAACGCCAAGTTCTAATTCCGGTGGGCATAGCAACAACTTGCGCCATTCGTAGACGATTCCGCGGCGCGGGCCTCTTGGTGGTTTCTTTGGGCCGTTTGGGAGCTTCTTTGGGCTTTTGGGGGGCCCCTGGAAGCCGCTTAGGGGGTCCCTTTGGGGCCTCTTGGGGGCCTCTTGGGCCGTGTTGGTGCGCTCTTGCGCCGGCTGGCCCCTTCGGAGGTCGTCTTGAGGGCCTGGCTCTCTTGGGGTCCTCTTGGGCCGTCTTGGGTGCCTCTTGAGCCTTCTTGGGATCTCTGTAGGCCATCTTGGGGCCCTCTTGGGCCGTTTCAAGGCCCTCTGGGGGGCCTCCGGGGTTGTTTCGGGGCCATCTTGGAAGGCCATTTTGGGCCGTCTTGGGGCCGTCTTGAGTCTTCGGGAAGCTGGATTGAGCCGAGTCTTCGGGAAGCTGCATTGAGCCGTCTTGAGGCCGTCTTGGACCCAGAAGGAGGCCCAAGATGCCGATATCATGAATTTTCCATACGTTTTGGTACGTTTGTGAGAGTGGTACGCACACGTGGCGTGGTTTCAGGGGGGGGGGTAGGGGGAGACATAAATAAGGTAATACACACAATATAATCTGTAGCAGTTACGCAATCAGTGGATGCATTCGATAGGTTGCATTATCGCCTCCGCAGACCCGTCACTTCCGGACGCGGATTCAAGAGGCTTGCGCCATTTCGCCGACCCCCAGAAGAGGCGGGGAGTCCACGGCTGATGCGTCGTGGGCTTCTTGGGCACTATGCGGGGATTCTTGTGGGCGTCTTGGGAGCTGTTTTGGGGCCTGGCGGAGCCTCCTGGAGGCAGTTTGTAAGCGTGTTGGGGGCTGCTTTGGCGCCCCTGTTGTGGCATTTTGGGGGGCATCCAGGGGCGTCTTGGGGGCCTCTTTTGGGCAGCTTGAGGGCTTCTTGGGGCCTTTGGGGGGCCTCTTGGGGCGGAGAGATGAAATTTTCGCTTCGCGTTCTCCCTCTTTGCCTCTCTTGGGCCCTCTTGGGGCGATCTTTGGCTGTGTTGGAACCCTCTTGGACCGTCCTGGGGCCCTCGCGGGGGCCTCCTGGGCAGTTTTGGGGCGGTCTACGGGGCCTCTTGGGCCGTCTTGGAGCGTCGGGAGCTCGAGAAGACGATAACCCCCGAAACGGTGAAAAACCTAAGGGGAACCATTCATTTTTGCCTCTCGGGGCCCTCGTGAAAACCCTCTTGGGAAGGCTCTGGGTGCGTCTCGAAGGCGTCTCGGAGCGTCTTGGATCGGTTGTAGGCGTCTTGGGCTAATCGTTCCGCGATCTGGGACCGTCTTGCAACGACTTTGAGGCCACGGAAGGCAGATTTGGAAGCTGAGGACTCTCCAGGCGTGCGCCGAGGAGCCTAGATAGCCCCCCCCCCCCCACTCTTTCAGACTTCCCACCCCAGGCAAGCGGGGGTCGGCGGATTCCGTAGGTATTCGCGAGATTCCTCGGGACTTCTTCATTATTCCTCAGGGACTTCTGCGTGATTTCGTAAAGATCCTCAGAGATTCCTCATCTATTTCATAGAGATTCCTTCGGATTCAGAGATTCCTCAGGGATTCCTGAGGGATTCTTCAGTGATTTCTAGTATTCTCCCAAGAGGTATCTTCGAGATTTCCAAGAGATTCCTTAGGATTCCTCAGAGATTCCCGAAGGATTCCTGGGGATTTTCGGACTTTCCTTATGATTCTTCAGAGATCCCACGGGGTTCCTGAAATATTCCTCAGAGATTCCTTAGAGATTCCTCGGATTCCTCACAGATCCTTCAGAGATCCCCCGGGTCTCGTAAGAGATTCCTCAGAGATTTCTCCGGGATTCTTTGGAATTCTTCAGAGCTTCCTCGGGACTCTTTCAGGCTTCCCGATGAATGCCTCAGGGGTTCCGGATGAATTTCTGAGGGATTCCTGCGAGGGTCGTTCGAGGATTCTTGCGAGATTCTTTCTTTCCTGAGGGATTTCTTCCAGGATTCCTGCAGATCCCCTGGGAGATTCTCAGGATTCTCCAGGATTTCTGCTGGGATTCCTGAGAGTTTCCTTTCAGGATTCCTCAGGAATTCCTGAAGGAATTTCTCATGGATTCCAGGAGGATTGCTTCCAGACTTTGAGGCATTCCTGACGGTGTTCTTGTAGGATTCCTGCAGGAATCCGGAGGAATTCCTGGGGCATTCCTTCCGGATTTCTGTGACATTCCTTCGAGAGTTTTGAGGCAGTCTTCCGGATTTTTGAGATATGCTTTCCCGGAGTTTTATGGGAACCCACAGAGATTCTTTTCAAGATTATTGTCAAGATTATTGGGGCATTCAGTCCAGGATTCCCTAGGCATTTCTTTCTAGGATTCCCGTGGGATTCTGGCAAGACCACTTCCACGATCCCTCGGAGATCCTTCCCGGATTCGTCGGATACCCAGGATTCTTTGGAAATCTTTCCAGGATTCCTCGGAGATCCGTATAGGAACCCCGATATATCCGAATTTGATTCCGAGCTTATCCTTCCAGGATCCATGCGAGATCCTTCCAGGATCCGTGAGAGTTCCGTAGAGGGCTCCCGACGGATCCTTACAGGCTCCCTGGGAGATCCATGCAGGATCCCCAGGGGATCCTCACCGCGTCCCTGCGGGATGCTTGCAGGATCCCTGAGCGATCCTTACGGGATCCATGGGAGATCTTCATGATCCGGGGAGATTCTTCCTTGATCCTTGAAAGACTTTTATAGGATCCTTGAGAGATCCTTACAGGATTCCCGAGAGACCCTCAAAGGATCCCCGAGTTCTGCGGGACGGTGGGATTAGCGCGCGTCCGTTTGAATTCATATTGCCAAACAATATCATTGAAGTCAGCAGGGGATGGGACCAGCGCGTGTCCTACTGAATTCCGATTGCCAACCAATCAACGAAAATGTTGCGGTAGGCTGGGTCCAATTGAATATCGATTGGGAAACCAATATATTGTTACATATTTATGGGGGATGCTGGGGTCAGCGCTTCTCTGTTTAGAATCTCATCGGCGACCAAATCGAACATTAAGATTTGTTGTTAGAAGACTGGGATTGCTGAATGCCCGACTGAATTCGTATTGACGAACACACACATACAGATATACATATATTTGTATGTGCCAATGCATGTGTATGTGTGTTAGGTAACGAGTCGGTCTGCTTGGTTTTTTTTTTTTTTTTTTTTTTTTTTTTTTTTTTTTTTTTTTTTTTTTTTTTTTTTTTTTCCCTCTAGAACACACATATATACATATGAATATAACATAACAATATGTGCACACGCACACACATATATATATATATGTATACAACAGCTTTTACATACATGTTTGCCGCAAGTTGCACGCCATTGCGAGGGAATCTGTATTCGTGCACAGCCAGCGCTTTCATGCCAGTGTTAGAACAACAACCCATTACACAAGAGAAGACAAAACAGCAATGTGAGAGCACCCTGTGCAGTTTACACAGACCGACGCCATATTACGCAAATCTGCGAGGTGCCGCATGCCATGCAACAGCTCGTTTGTGCCAATTGCGCATATAAGGCTGCTTGCAGGTTCCACTTTGGAACCGAAGTTTTCAGATGTACACAACGAGCTTTTCACCAGGAGCTGTCTGATTTTCTGCTGGATGTCCACACTTCGTTCTCGAGCGTATGACTGCACGCTGATGGAACTCCCACAGCTCTCACATGAAATCCAAGTAACACGAGACTTTACGCAACTGTCGTGCGAAAGCCGTCCAGTTCTCATACGCCAAGCGGTTCCTTGGTTTCTGACCCCAGTTTTGTAATTCTTTCAGGCCAGCGATGGTGGAACGCGCTCCTTCAAAAGAAACGAAGTTATCAGCGTGACAGCCGGAGAGTATGAGAGTCTGACAGTAGCAGTATGAGTATAATGATACCTGAGAAAAACTCAATCATATGTTTTAGGGCTATAGGGTTATGGGGCTACAGGGCTATAGGGCTATAGGGCTAGAAGGCTATAGGGCTATAAGGCTATAGGGCTACAGGGCTATAGGGTCACAGGGGTATAGGGCTGTAGGGCTATAGGGCTATAGGGCTATAGGGCTCTAGGGCTATAAGACTATTGGGCTATTATGGTTCTAGGGCTATTGGGCTATTGGGCTATAGGGCTATTGGGCTATTAGGGCTATAGGGCTATAGGGGTATTAGGGCTATTGGGCTATGAGGCTATAGGGCTATAAGGCTATAAGGCTATAGGACTATGGGAGTGTGGGGCTACCAGGCACCCGAGCACCCCCAGGCACCCGGGCACCCCAGGGCACCCAGGCACCCGGGCACCCCTGGGCACCCGGGCACCCGGGCGGGCCACCGAAATCGGCGACGAACCTCACCTAACCACATGAATCCGCTAGGACCCCTACAGAGGCAAGCTCTGATTGGGGAATACGTAGGAGGAGCAACAGCAGCAGCGGGAGTGAATGATGAAGAACGGTCACGGAGCAGGGGTTTGTAACACGTTCGACATCGACTGGTTTAATTGTACCAGCTCCCTTCAGTGGGCTCATGTTTCTGTTGCCCACCTGTGGCGCGGTGGCTTCAAGCGTCCGCAGTGAAATCAAGAGATCCCCCTTACTTGTCCTTTGCGAGGATACCCGCAGCCTCCAACTCTGTCAGCTGGTTCGTGGTTTGCCGTAGAAGCAGGGCGAGGGATGAGGGTGCAGGGGGAGGAGTGAGGAGGCGTGAGGAGGGTATGAGAGGGACTAGGAGCGGCGGCGGAGGACGAGGGGACACAGGTGAGCAAGCCGAGGCTATCGACGCGTGCGCACGCGCTCGCGCCAGGGCGATGCGCCGCATGGCGCCCTCACGGCCTGCAACCGGGTGGAGCCCTTCAACTCCGAACTGGCTGCCTGGGCGAGACGAATCTCTGCTGCAGCCCTGCGCGGGCTAAGCATTCGGCTCCGCCCCATTCGGGATCGCTCGTGGTGGTTGAAATCTCTCCTTGCGGCTCTTGCTGCTGGCTGCTGCTGATAACGCTAATGCTACTACTTCCGCCGATGCTGCTTTTATGGCTGATTCTATTGCAAGGGGTAATGCTAATGCTGCCTGTCGTTTTCCTGCTACTCCGTCTTCTCTTCGTCCTCTCCTCCTTCAATTTCTCCTCCCTATCTCATCATCACTCCTTCACTGCCTCCTCCCCCTCCCCCTCCCAGTTCCCTGTCCATCCTATCCTCCCTCCTCCCTCCTTCCTCCGTCGCATTCTTCCTTCTCCGTTTCCTCATACATCTTCTCTTTCTTATCCAGGCTCTCCTGGTACGCTCTTGGGCCGTCCCCGGGTGTCTTGTATGGCCTTCGGGGCGCTTTGGGGATCCTCTCGTGGTCCCTTGCGGCCGAGTTGGACTGTTCTGGCTCCCCCGGGCGGTTGACGAGCCATCTGGATTGTTCTGGGCCATTCTTGTGCCCTCTTGGGGCTTCTCCCGAGTGCCTCTTGGACCATCTTGGTCCGTCTTGAAGCCTCTTCGGGCCACACTGGCCCGCTTCAGCAGTAAATTTGGGCCATCCTGCGCTCTCCTTCGCTTCTCGGAGGGCCTCTTGGAGCAATCTTGAGCCGAAAAAGGCTGGGAGTCAAAAACGTTAAGAACGCATTGATTTGCGGCTGGTGTTGCCTGTCAGGGGCATCTTCTGGAGGCTTTGAAGCGCTCCTAGAAGCCTCGTGGTCTGTCTCTTACGGCGCCCAGTGGTCTCTTTGCGCCCTCTTGGCAGCATGTGTGCGCCTTCGGCCGACACTGGCCTGACGGCAAGACGCGACAAGAGCGTTCAGGATGACTTGGAAGCTCCAGGGGACACCCCCCAGGGGCGTTCAGGAAGTTCGCGGGGCCTGGGGATCTCTCTCTATTCGCTCTCTCTCTCTCTCCCTCTCTCTCTCTCTCCTTCTCTGTCTCTCTCTTTTTTTTTTTTTTTTTTTTTTTTTTTTTTTTTTTGTTTTTTTTCTCTCTCTCTCTCTCTCTTTTTTCTTCTTCTCTCTCTCTGTCTTTCTCTATCTCTTTGGCGCTTCCTCCTTCTCTCTCTCTTTTTCTCTTAATCAAGAGGCTTACGTCGACGCCAAGAAACGAATATACATGACTTCCGATTTCTTAGGTGTTATTTGTAGCTTCCCGTCATGCTGCCTGCGTGCAGTTGCTGCTGATCGTAGTGGCCTCTGGCTAGTGCCGCCGATCCGGGGCGCTCTGGGACGAGACCGGGCGGACGAGGAGGACGACGATCATGGATGGCCGGTGAGCCATGGCCGGGGGCGAGGACCGACGACGACGACGACGAAGAAGGCGGCGAGGAGGAGGAGGAGGAGTAGGAGGAGGAGGAGGAGGAGGAGGAGGAGGAGGAGGAGGAGGAGGAGGAGGAGGAGGAGGAGGAGTTGTCGGACCCCGATTTATCCGCTCCCCGCTCCCCGGCTCCCCAGCTCCCCGGGGAGGAGTCCCGGGAGGCCGCGGCCTCGACCTGCGGAGGGCAGCCCTCGGGAGGGGAGAAAGCACACAGACACAACTCGTCGTCGATTCCCCAGAACATGTGGGAAAATAGGGGCAGTGGGGGGGGAGACAGGAACCCAGAAGATGTGTGAAGGTATGGGGAATCCTTTTCTTTGTGTGCATTTTTTCGTGTGTCCCGGGGCCCCTTCAAACCCATCGACCATCGGCGTCGTCCTCGGGGGTTTGGGAAATCCCGCCCCCGCACGAAAGGAGGCGGGGGCCGAGCGACTCGGCGGCGGCGGAGGGTAAGGCGACTCGTTCGGCCACGCTCTCCCTCCCCATGGGTTCGGGGCCTCCCTGAGCCCCCGAGGGCACGAAGCGTTTCCATTGGAAACGTCGCTTTCAGGAGTTTGGAGATTCTGTGCCCGCCCATCCGAGGGTGGAGGCTCCCGTTTCCCGGTCCTCTGGTTCTTATACCTCGGAGCAAGCTTCCGGACCCGCCGAGCCTCGACCTTCGCATGGGGGCGAAGGATGGAAAGTCTGCAGGCCTTCGGCCCGCAGGCCTTCTGAAAATAGGCGCTCCTCGCAGGCTCTTGGGGTGCCCCATAGTCTGAAGAATGGGGCACCGGTACGGCCGGACCGAGGCACAAGATGCGGGTCGGTTCGGGGAGGGTGCCCCAATGTTCTTCGTGCTTGTTGGATGTTCTCGTGCATCCTGGGGGGGGGGGTAATTTTACCCTCGAATGCTCTTCCGTTTTGGGCCAGCGGAGGGTCTCGAGTGCTTGAAGGATGTTCTTCTGTCCTGGGTCCGACTGGGATTCGAGTAGTGCTCGGGTACTCGGGTGCTCCCGGTGAACCTGTACCCCGAATATGAGCAGCCAGTACACCTTAGGCGATGCTTAAGAAAACTTGAGTTTTCGGCCAGAGTCTCAATTATTCTTACTGTTTCAATTTAATTCCTAAGACTTTGATAGAAACGTTGGGTTTTTATTCCAGATCTGAGACGATGAATTTCTTAACCCATGATTTCTAAAGCATTTCGCAGGGTGTATCCCAGATGGGACTGGAACTCGAATCGTGCTCGGGGTTCAGGTGGGAACTCAGTGGGTCTGTACCCCCCTGAGCCAGGGTTCACATGTTGGGTTGACCCAAAAGGGGGGTCCAGGGACAAGGGGGTGGTGCCATAGATTTGGTGAAATAGATTTGTGGGGTTGCAATACATTTTGGGCGTGCAATATATTCTGGGGCGCAAGTGTTTTGTTGGACTTTCGCGTGCCATACATTAAGTGCAGTACAATGCAATGCAATTCTCGTGCGCAATACATTCGCAATGCACTTGCCCAAAGTCTATTGCACCACCCCCTTTCGGCTGGACCCCCTTTTGGGTCACCCAAAACATGGGCCTCCACCGAGTGCTCTTCCACACAGAGACATTCGAAGTGGCCCAGAATCGGGCAATATTCAAGGGAGGAAAAACCACATGGAACCGACAATTAGCCTTTACTAGACGTTCCTGGGCGTTTACTAAACAGCCCTGCCCTGTTTGATTCCATCTTTGGGTGCGTTTACTTAACGGCCTCGCGTGTGGGGGTGGTTGTTATTGGGGTGAATTTTCTGTTCCTAAATATGGAACGACGGGGCGATTGAAACGCCGCCGATCGTTCAGGCTTGAACGATTCGCGCGGTGTCAGCACCTGCCGCTCGTGGCTGGGCGCATGCGTCGGTTCCTTGGGGACCGACGGTCTTTCCATACTTCCGCTGCTGCCCGCCCACTCCAGCCGCCAGGGGGAGCAGGGCAGGGATAAGAACGTGGCGTCCATGGGCCAGATCTTCATCAATGCCCCCACTCCGCACCCTCCTGGGATCCTGGAATGGGCAGGGGTGTGTACAACATGTCGGTTGCCTGGTTGCTAAGGCCTTACGGCCGGCGCCGCCGATCCTGGAGGCCTCGGCCCTCGACGCGCTCCCGTCACGCCCCGGGAGGGTGGTATTCTGACCCAGGACCACCCCCCGGGACCACCCCCCGGGACCCCTCCCCGGGACCCCCCCCCCCGGGACCCCCCCCCCAGGACCACCCCTCGGGGTTCAGGAGACGGGGGTCAATGCAAACGGGGGTCAGCCAGAGCGCTGGATCTTGCAGGATCCTGCAGGGCCACGGCTGCATTGATCTGGGTCTGGGTGCAGGATCCTGCAGGATTTTGCAGGTTCCTTCGCATTGACCCCGGGTTTGGGTGCAGGATGTCGCGGGATCTTGCAGGATTCTGCAAGACCTGACTGACCCAGGTCTGGATTGACCCGGGTTAGAAGATCTCCGAACCCCCTGGGACCCCCGCCCCTCCGCGGGGAAGGGATCAAAGGGAAGGGGCTTCCCTTCGACTTACTGACAACGTTGCTGCATTTTTCGCTGTGGATGGGCCGGTGCATTTCGCTTTGGCTGGCGTGCTTCAGGACGAGGGCCCACGGAAAGGGGGGAGCGGCGGCGGACTCGGGGGAAGGCGGCGGCGCCGCGACGCCGGCAGCGACGGCGATGGCGACGGAGCGGCCCCTGTCGCACGCCGACAGGGTCGGCGGATTTTCGTGGGCTCCTCAGATAGGGGAGGGTGTGGAGGCTTTCTCCGAAGGGCTCAGGCGACCCGTCCTCCTCCTCCTCGTCCTCCTCCTCCTCATCCTCGTCCTCCTCCTCCTCCTCCTCCGCGCCTCCTCCTCCATTGCCTTTTCCCCCTCCCCCCCCTCCACTTCCTCAGGAGAGTGGCCGCGGCGGCCGCGTCCTGGCGCCTCCCCCCGTCAGGCGCCCATGTGCCCCATGGCGTCCGGGGTCGACGACCTGGTGCTGCAGAGCGGGCTGTACGCCCTGTGTGCCTCGCAGGGGGCTCTGGCGGCCCCCCCTCGACCGGCCCCCGCGCCCTCCGGGGCAGCTCGCCCACCCCTTGGGTCGCCTGACTCTCTCTCTCTCTCTCTCTCTCTCTCACTCAAGAAGAAGAAAAGTAATAGTAATAATAAGAATAATAATACTAATCATGATAATAATATGGGTAAGAATAATAATCATTACAGAGGGGGGTCCAGCGCGAATCCAAGAAATCCGCGCGGAGCGCCAAACGTTTATGCTTGTGTGTTTTTTTCTTCTTCTGCTCTCTCCCCTTCTCTCCGCCCCTCTCGGTTCCTCCTCGCCTCCCCGTCGCGCTCCTGGCGACCCCCTGGCCCTCCTGACCCTCTCCCTCTCGTCTCTCTCTCTCTCTCTCTTTCCCCCCCCTTCCCTCCTCACTCCCCCGCTCCCGCGCGTCAGGCCCCGCTTTTCCCTCCTCCCCTGCCTCGTGGCCGACAGTCCTCGAGGTGGCAGGTGACTGCGAGAGAGAGAGAGAGAGTGGTGCTCCATAGTACCCTCCAGGCGATGCTTAAGAAAACCCAAGTTTTCGGCCAGAGTCTCGATTATTCTTAATGTTTCAATGTAAATCCTAACATTTGAGTAGACATTCTGGGTTTGATTTCAAATTCTGAGACTATGAATTTCTTAACCCATGATTTCTAAAGCATTTCGCAGGGTGTACCCAGGGATTACCTGGGCGACTTGGTGCATGGGGTCGAGCAGGCCAGGTACGGAGGAGTGCTTCGGTATGCCAGGGCACGGGCGGAATCGGCCGACTTCTCCTGCGCATGCCGGCCAGGTGTGCACGGATTGCCGCGTATCCTGACACCGGGGGCTCAATGGCGTATCGCACCACGTTGCAGATGGTTCGGCGCCATGGGCATCTGGCCAGCATTCATGATGAGGCACAGCGAAGTTGTGAGAACGTGGAACGATATCTAGATAACGCTCGACATTTGTCTTGTTACGTGCCCTTGAGATATCGTGTTTTTCAGTGCTGGGCATCACTTCCGCGGTGGAGACAGAGACCTTCGTGATTACGAGCAGCAGCTAACTCTAGTCATCGAGCGGTGGAAGGCACGCGCTTCGCGCGCCACGCTCGTACTTGCTGCATCGACCCCCAGCCCCCAAGACTACAACAAAGACTAACGATCCGACTTGCGAACATTTTGATCGATGTCACGCGCATGGACACGTGTCGTCATTGAACAGAAGTAACATAATGGCAAGGTATAGTTCAGACAAATTAGGCATCTGTTATGAGGACTGGTTTGTGTAATTTCCCCGAGTCCCTGGATGAATGCGACATTCTCCCGATTATGAATAGTTCTAACTTCGTAGTCGAGCGCGACCGCAAGCTATTCGTAGAGCAGTTCCAGGTGTAATTCCAGGTCTGGAGGAATAGCACCCCCTGCCGTTGAGAGCCAAGTTGCAGAGTTTGCCAAGGGCGCTCTCGCCTGGGGGCTGCAGCCTACTTGCACATGATGCGTTTCCCCCCGCGCAGGGGCCAGTCCGCGCGTGGCTCGCTTTGTCGCCAGATGCCGAATTGCCGTATTTTTGCCCCTCTTGCTTTGGGCAGCGCAGACTGCCACTTAGCAGCGTTTTTTTCGTCCTGCAGTTGCGGTTCGCACTTGCCGTAGACTTTTTCAAGAGGGGGAGGAAAAACAAACACACACCATCTTCACCCTCCGCGCCAATCATTGCCCGCAGCAGGGATGGGGGGGAGATGAGGAGGATGAGGATAAGGAGGAGCAGTAGCAGACACAGGAGCAGAAGCAGGAACAGAAGCAGGAGCATGAGCAAAAGCAAAAGGAGCCGAACGAGCAGGAGACGGAGAGACGCGGGAGAAGGAAATGCATGATGGAGGATAGTGCAGCAGGGGTGGCCAAGGATGGGGCGGGAACGACATGTTTCCCCCCCCCCCCACAGGATCGTCATGGATGGAATGACTTGCTTGAGACGTTTCGGCATTCGTCCCGGAAACGCCCCCGAGTTCCTTTAAGAAGGCGCTGCATGATGATGCGCGAGGCATGGTGATGGTGGTGATGATGTTGATGATGAGATATAGGATGAGAAGGTGAGGAGGGGGAGGAGGATACGGCGCATCGATTCGGCATTGGACGCGAACCTGTCTCTTGCAGATGGGTGACGAGGGAGCAGTCGGGACGGACTAAGCAGGAGAGGAGAACGAGACGTGAGGGACACCATATGAGAGCCTCGCGCAACTGTGGATTGGGAAGGCGCCATACGGATAAGGAGGAGGAGGAGGAGGAGGAGGAGGAGGAGGAAGTAGAGACGGGGAAACCCGAGCAGGGAATGAGACGCACGAAGGGCAAGACGACCGCGAGGACTCCCGAACAGATGCCAATGCACGCGTAATACGGATATGGCATCATGGAACCACTGCGCCGCGACGTTAAGTTGCCTTAGACCCTACGCGTGCGCGACGCGCGCGCGTTGTTCTAGTTAGCATACTACCCATGAGCATGAAGCAATTCTGACTCCCACTACCAAGAGTGCACATAACATGAACGCAACCAGAAGCATCACCATCCACACGAGTGATGTTGATACTTGCCCTGCTACCAACCATGATTAAATGGAACAATACTAGCCAGTCCGACACTACGATACTGCTAGCCATGCTAATACGCGTCCTGCTAATACGATGGTAATGCTATCATACCTGAGCAAACACACTAGCA